CACTGGATCAACTTTGGCCACATCATTGCACGAATTATCTTTCAGCCCTGATCACCTTCATTAGAGCATCTGCGGTTGAGTCAAAATTATGCCAACACAGATACAGGCAATGACAACTAGATGTGCATATGTAAATTATCTCTGGCAGTTTTCCCTACAGGGCAGGTGTGCAAAGAGAGAAATCACCAAAAGGATAGATGTAATTTCCGAAAATTACTACATGGTGGTTAAAATCAAAGGAGCGATTGACATGGGAAAATATTAAGCCAGACATCGACTTGGTTAAAAAGCCTTCAAACATCTCTTCTAATCACAAAGGAAACTTCAACCAAAAGGGTTCTCCTTTACAAAATTATTATTATTATTATTATTATTATTATTATTATTATTAAAGTCTGCAACAAACTACCTAAGGATACAGTCTGCATAATTTAGGTACAAACTCTCCCTTAGTTCCAATGGGCTAAAACCCTATTTTTAGAGTCCAGGATAAAACCCCACTTTCCCCCTCCCCCTTCCTAAACCGGACTGCAACCTAAACATCTCTCTCTCTCTCTCTCTCTCTCTCTCTCTCTCTCTCTCTCCTTGGAATGGCATTTTCCTTTCCCTCCCCTTGCCTTTTTAATGGAAGAAGCTTGCTTCATTAGTCCTTCCTGTCTAACGTTCAGACACAAAAGGTCAGTGGCAACAGCATTCCACGCATACACTTGTGTCAACCTGGAAGTGTCCCACATCCATCATAACCTCAAGGTTGGGTGGAAGGGGAGGGAAGGTGGAAATTGGAGACACGTGCCCCCCTCCCTCTCCTCTGCTGCTGCATTTTAAAGCAGACAACTCCATCTTTACTCTCTCTGCAGAGCTGACAAGGCTTCCATGGCTAGCTGACACGGTAGTAGAGGCAGCTCATTTACGGCTGTGTGACCAGAATGCAGCCAAGAGCTTCTCGCTTCTCCCCACCTTCTCCTTCCTTCAAAACTGGCCACCATCACATCGAGGTCACGTCTCTCAGGAGAGGCAGAGAAAGTTTTCTGCTTCAGTTTCTTCTTTTTCTCATCAGAGCTTTTCCACTGAACGACCTCCGGAAGCAGCACCAGCGGAAAAGAAGAAAGGGGTTAGGCCAAATCTCCAGCTAAGGGCCCCAGATGAGCTCAGCTCAAAGGCCCATCTATCCCAGCACCTTGTTCTCATAGCTGCCAACCAGATGTTTTGGGAAGCCCACAAGCAGGGCATGGGCGCAACAGCACTCTCCCCACAGGTGATTCCCAGTCTCAGGTATTCAGGTATTGCCTCTGATATTGGAGGTAGCAATCAGTAGTCATCGAAAGCCTTATGTTCCTGCTGAGTTCCTGAGGATTCTTACCCCACTTCCTAAAAAGAGAGAGATGCTATTTCTGCAATCTCATCTGTTTCAGATGGGCAAAAATAGGAGCAACCAGGAAAGGTCATTGCAAGGCACTCTGCACATGGTCAAAGCTTACATCTTTGTCATCAAGAAGAAGAGTTTGGACTGTTTAGGAAGCTTTTAAAGCTTGATGCATTACTGTATTTTAATATTTTGTTGAAAGCCGCCCAGAGTGGCTGGGAAAGCCCAGCCAGATGGGCGGGGTATAAATAAATAAATAAATAAATAAATAAATTATTATTATTATTACTACTTGATATCCCACCATTCACTCCCCTTAAGGAGTCTCAAAGCAGCTCACAATCTCCTTTCCCTTCCTCCCCCACAACAAACACTCTTTGAGGTGAGTGGGGCTGAGAGACTTCAGAGAAGTGTGACTAGCCCAAGGTCACCCAGCAGCTGCACGTGGAGGAGCGGGGAAGCGAACCCGGTTCACCAGATTACGAGTCCACCGCTCTTAACCACTACACCACGCTGGCTCTCAATTCTTCAAATGCCCCAAGGCTGACCTCTCTTGACACTGAAAGGCTTGGTGGTTATGGGGCTGGTGACCCCAGTCCAAATTAAGCCCCCCCCCCCCGCCACTTCACTTTCACCACGCAATATTTTTAGGTGGGCACCAAAAATGTCCCTCCCACTTCTTCCTTTCCTTCCTCCGCATTTCTCCCCCCCCCATCTCTTTTCAAAACCTTTCGTTGTTTCCCTCCATGCCCTCCTCCCAAACGGGCTTAGGAATTAAACAGGCCGTCCATATGCCACGCTTCACTTCTTCACTGTTGCTGCCCCCCTGCCATCTGGCCTATGTGATCAAGCAAAAGGGTGAGGGGGGAGAGAGAGAAACAGAATAATGAGAAAGGTAAAGACAGACACAAAGAGGAGGACGAGGACGAGGAGGAAGAGGAGGGAGAAGAGGCGACTCTGCCTCTCCCATCTGCTCCTTGGCCAGACTCCCGGATAGATCAGTAACGGAGAACAGCAGAACCAGCGACAATTAACCCAAACAGAGGCCTGTTTATTTAACCTGTTCAGATAGATCAGCTCAGACATGGCTCCTTTGGCACAAAAGCGCCCTCCCTTCCATCAAGAAGCTTCCCAGTGCAAAAGCCTCGCCTTTGGCCATACGGAAAAGAGGCAGAGAAGGGAGATTCCCCACCACTAACTATTTTTTCTCATGGCAACCGTCCAGCTGAACCGACAAGGACTGGCTTATGCATTGCTGGTATGAGACCCTATAGCAGTAGGAAGGAATGCCATTCCGCAGGCCACTTCTGGTAAAGCCTGGTTCCCTCTCTGAAGAGGAGAGATGCCTTCATCGCAGAGGGTGCACCACTAGTCTCCACCCCCATCGTTCAGCCCGGACACTGAGATCCAGCGCCGAGGGCATTCTGGCGGTTCCCTCATTGTGAGAAGTGAGGTTACAGGGAACCAGGCAGAGGGCCTTTTCGGTAGTGGCACCCGCCCTGTGGAACGCCCTTCAGATGTGAAGGAAATAAGCAGCTATCTTATCTTTAAAAGACATCTGAAGGAAGCCCTGTTTAGGGAAGCTTTTATTATTTAATGCTGTATTGTTTTTAACACTCGATTGTGAGCTGCCCAGAGTGGCTGGGGAAGCCCAGCCAGATGGGCGGGGTATAAATAATAAATTATTATTATTATTATTACCCTGAGCAGAAGAAGATCCTGCTATATCAGGCCAATGGTCCACCTAGTCCAGCATCCCGTTCTTGCAGGAGCTAACCAGATGCCCATGGGAAACCCGTAAGCAGGATTCAAGCACAAGACCAACTCTCTCCTCCTGAGGTTTCCAGTAACAGGTACTCAGAAACATTGATGTGGAGGAAAAGCACAGGCATTGTGGCTAGTAGCGATTGATAGCCCCCTCCTCCATGAATTTGTCTTATCCTCTTTTAAAGCCACCTAGGTTAGTGGCTTTTGCTGCTTCCTGTGGGAGCGAGCCCCGTAGTTCAACCATGTGTGGTGTGGAGGGCTTTATTTTATCTAACCTGTCTGGGACGCGGGTGGCGCTATGGGTTAAACCACAGAGCCTAGGGCTTGCCGATCAGAAGGTCGGTGGTTCGAATCCCCGCGACCATTGCTCGGTCCCAGCTCCTGCCAACCTAGCAGTTCGAAAGCACGTCAAAGTGCAAGTAGATAAATAGGTACCGCTCCGACGGGAAGGTAAACGGCGTTTCCGTGTGCTGCTCTGGTTCGCCAGAAGCGGCTTAGTCATGCTGGCCACATGACCCGGAAGCTGTACGCCGGCTCCCATGGCCAGTGAAGCGAGATGAGCACCACAACCCCAGAGTCGTCCGTGACTGGACCTAACAGTCAGGGGTCCCTTTACCTTTACTAAGCTGTTCGAAACCCTGGAGACTGCTGCCAATCAGTGCAGATGATACTGAACCAGATAGAGCAATGGTTCGACCCAGCAGAAGCCAAATTCCTATGTTCCTTGCCAGCTAAGTTTGACTTCAGCAGTTTGACTTCCACTGTGAATGACATTTGCAAAGCAGAGGCTTTGGGTACTCGCTTTTCCCTTTGACCTAGTGTTCGTTTGTGCAGACTTCAGGTCCTCCCCAGACCTTACAGGAAACAAGTGCCTGTTTGTTGCTTCATTACACTTTCACACAAGAGTGTGAGCATGCCCAAGAACAAGGAAATCTCACACATTAAAAAAGGGTGGGGTGTCAGGACACATGGATAATTGCCAAAAAAAACCAAAACTCATCAGATCATGACAAGGGACAGCCCCTTCCTTCCTCCCTGCCCCACAGAAGCAGCAGCTGGGGACCCACGGCGCAGCCTGTTTTTCACAGAGGCAGCAGCAACCCTTGTTGAATACAAATGAGGAAGGACGCCAGGTGCTGTCCGTCTCCTTGTGGGAGAAGGTGGCTGGAGGAGGGGAGGAGTCTGGGGAGGAAGAAAAGGATACTTGCTTTATTGCACAATATTCAGTTGCCATCAGGATGCTCTCTAAACAATGAGCACCTTTGATTTCTGCACCATGGATTCTTGGCTGAAGTGGGGGCTTTCTAAATAATACAAATAGAGGAGATGGCTGAGGGTGAAGACTGGTCTCCCAGCTGCTGATGCCAGAGTGGTCCTCTGGTACACGCATCCTCACCGCCCCATCTGTGGGGGCCCCTTGTGTGTTAGAAGCGTGATTTCCTGCAGCTCCCCAATCGATTTCAAACCTTGGGACATCAGGTTTCTAAACAGTGCAGGGAGCCTACGTGCTTACAGTGGATCCCCGCTGCAAAGGTTTTGCTCAGAACGCATGGTGATGCTCACAGAGAAGAAGGCTGCTCTAGATCATTCTTCAGCCAGAAGCATCCATATATTTGGTTCCTTTTATGGTCCTCGTCTATGTGTAAAAGTTCCTCAAACTACTTCCAGGATTCCCTCCCCGATTCCTCATCTACTGTACATGCTTTTCCAATTTATTGGTCTCCTGCTGGCTAAGGAATTTTGATTTAGTGGACCCTTGCTTGGCTTGGATTTGATGACCATTCAGTTTTTCTCCACCCCTCCTTAGCAAATGGAGCACAACCTTCTCTGGGTTGTAAACTGATGGCTAGGGTTTGGGGTTATTGTTTTTCCGTTATTGCATACACACACACACACGTATATATAGCATTTTCTATTTGTTGTAATGTCTCCATCCCCCGTATAGCTGCACAAAATGTAGAAGATTGAGGAAGTTGACCCAGAGGGTGACAACTGTTGGAGATCTAAGTGCTCAGCTGTAGGAAATCTCCTCTCATATGAGAGCACTGTGGAAGCAATTATGGAGACAATAATGGATGGGATGCAGTGAAATAATCCCATGGTAGAGGGAAGCCTTCTGGTGAGATCATAGGCCACAAAGAGCAGGAGCGGTTTATGATGCCATTGCCGGCAGATTCCCTGGACAGGATGAATTCATTTTCTCAAATCATTTGTTATGCCTCGTTATTATGGGGCTCTCTTTTCAACTGGTCTCCCTGCCTTAAATGATACGTTATTGACCTCAAACTACCAGCTTCAACATTTCTGAACTCTGGGCTGCAGATAGAAAGGGCAAACAGTCTCTCCTCTTCCAAGAAATGTCTTAACTTGAATGCATTCTGCTCGGCTCACATGAATCAATTCCCAACACTTGGGTCCATCCATCTCTCTCATCAATCAAGCCGTTCTCCCAATCCATACATACTGGTCCATCCATCCCAATAGTCATCTATATAGCTATTTTATTGTTAGTATAAACCGCCCCGGTGGACACATTTGATGGGTGGTTAATCAATATCCAAAGCTAATAAATGAATATATAACATTTCTGCTTGCAGCTATACTTAGGGTATGTTCTTTCTTTCTAAAAAATAACCCTTTGCTCTCTCTATATATTTGCCATCAATGGCAGCAAGCCACTTCAACCGATTCAGACCAGTGTTATATATAAGTTAGGTGCCAAATGGCTCCTTAAACCAAGGTTGCAGTCACTCAAATGGAATGTCTAGTTGCCATTTAGGAGCAAGACGGCTCTATAAAGTCTTATATCCAATCACCGTCAGTTCGTCATTTGAAAAATAAGTTAAACATCTGGCTGGTTCAAATGGCAACCTTGAGCTAGGTTAAGAACTTTGAGAACTGAAAAAAAGAAAAGTGACGCGATCCGGGGACAGTCCACGTATATATTGGCCTATTCCTACCTCTTTTTATCATTTATTTTCTGCACAGAAAAAGCATTTCCAGAAATTCATTCCGGTTGTGCAGATAAACTGATCGAATTCTACAGGATGATCCCCAGGTGGTGGAGATGTCAAGTGCCATCTTGGTGCCCCGGCATCTTCACTTGGTCACAGGTGGTCGATAGACAGGTGCAAATGCTAATTTTGAACACTGGTTATTGGAGGCATTATGCTTCTGAATGCCGGTTACTAGAAATCACAAGCAGAGAAGGTGCTGTTGTGCTCAGGACTTGCTTGTGTGCTTCCAAATAAGCATCTGGTTGGCCACTGTGAGAACAGCATGCTGGACTAGATGATTCACTGGCCCCAGCAAGCTCTTCTTGTGCCCTTTTGTACATCAAGTGAACTACTCCAGGATCTCATCCAGCAAGACTGCCATCAGTAAGTCATTGGCTCCACATCTGGAGGTTGTGGTGGCCTAGACTGGTTCCCCATGAACAGCAGTGCAGTGTCAGGTACCTCTTTCCACTTCTGATGTTCAGGACACTTTTCACTCATTCTTTATGGATATTTAGCTGGTGATATATTGTGATGTTGAAAACCAGATACCCTATCACCCAGGGCTAGTGAACACCAAGCTGAGTTCCTTGTTAGAAGAAGAAAAGTGGGAGATAAATGTACTAAAGGAATACCCAACAAGGAAGGAGACGTTTGCTCCAATCCTTTGGTTAAGCACAGTCTAGATGGACACTCTTCCATCAATATGCCTGTTCTCTCAGCAATGGCAGGGATGGAAGAAGTGAGGAAATCTCATCCATCTTCCCTGCACCAGTGCACAGGAAACTTAGAAGTGTGTCTCTCCACCAACATAACTCTAGAGATGCTGTAGAAATGGAGCCCTGGAATTCCGTGGCATCCAGCCCATCCTTTTCTCTCAGTAGTCAAACATCCATGACTCACGGTTGGGTTTCCTGCACTTAATAACCAGCAGTATTTGCAGACCTTCTGACAAAACATTGGGCACTTTAACAAAACCCACACTTGACCATAAAAGCTTCTGAGCTTCTCTGGGGCATCTTTAAGGAGCTCAGGGCTTCTGAGGCCCCAGATGCAACATTACATGTGGTCCACGGCTGCTTCTGCCTCTTGCCAAGATCCTTCCCTGCTCCAGTTCTTTATTAGCGGACATGGCGTTCTGCAGAAAATGTTTTTACAACCTCGCTTTGGGTTTTATGGGATTATTCTATCAGAGCAAAAGCAAACTTAGCGGGCTGAGTGCGCTGTGTTGTGTCTTTTCAGCCCCAGCTAGTTGTGCCGTGGCAGTGGTGTTTGACCCCTAAACACACACACACACACACACACACACACACACACACACCGTTCTTGCCCACCACCTTCTCAACTAACCACAGATTTCTAGATAGGCAGGAAATTGCCCAAACTGAAATCCCTTACTGTCCTTTGTCAGCGTCGATCAAGAGAAGGCTCTGCGAAGGGGCTTTTTTCCTTCACTAGGCAAAGAATTCTGAGTCATTTCTTCCTAGAAGTTGAGAGTCAGAGGTGAGAGCAAGAGATGGGTTTGTGAGATTAAGGCGACACATACAACCCAGGATGGAATTTGCTCCATTTAAGGTGCTTGTGCGTGGGGAGCAAGCAGTGAACAGATTAAACATTAGTATGCTATTTAGCTGATTTAGTGATATGCCAGGGAAACAGCACTTCCTTCCAGATCTCTTTTTTCCCCTGTGATCTCATCAACACAGGGTCCTCCAGACTTACAAGACCAGATGTTACTTCCTGGCCGTTCGACTTTTGCAATCACACACAAGCAAGGAATTCGCCACGGATAATGGGTACCTGCCGCAGAATTTCCTAGGAACCTTAGCTTTCATTGTAAGCAAGTTCATTTTCGAGAACCTCAGGGCAGTCAAAACAGATCTAGAACCATGCTTCTGAAAATCTCAAGTGAAAATAAAATTTGCTAGTTAGGTCAGCAGAAGGCGGTTGCTGTGGGAATGAAGACAGCTAAGTCTGGACATTGGATCCTCTGGTTCAAAACCTTTCCCCTCTGGCACATGGAAGGCAAAACACATTTTTTATGGGCAGTCAATCTCCAGCTGCTGATGGACTTTTTATTAAATAGCTGTGTTCTCACATCACCTTGCCAACAAAGGTCAGTATAGTTAAAGCTATGGTTTTCCCAGTAGTGATGTATGGAAGTGAGAGCTGGACCACAAAGAAGGCTGATCGCTAAAGAATTGATGCTTTTGAATTCTGGTGCTGGAGGAGACTCTTGAGAGTCCCATGGACTGCAAAAAGATCAAACCTATCCATTCTTAAGGAAATCAGCCCTGAGTGCTCACTGGAAGGACAGATCGTGAAGCTGAGACTCCAATACTTTGGCCACCTCATGAGAAGAGAAGACTCCCTGGAAAAGACCCTGATGTTGGGAAAGATGGAGGGCACAAGGAGAAGGGGACAACAGAGGACAAGATGGTTGGACAGTGTTCTCGAAGCTACCAGCATGAGTTTGACCAAACTGCGGGAGGCAGTGGAAGACAGGAGTGCCTGGCATGCTCTGGTCCATGGGGTCACGAAGAGTCGGACACGACTAAACGACTAAACAACAACAGCAACATGTCACACTAAACTGTGGTTTGGTTCAGGGTTGGCTAACCTGTGGCCCTCCAGATCTTGTTGGACTCCCAACTCTTATCAGGCCCAGCCAGCATGGCCAATGATGAGGGAAGATGCGATACCACATTCCAGGTCCCAGCCTTCAGACTTTGCTGTCTTAATTTCTGCACCTCTGCTTCCAGAGGCTGGGCTCTGAGCTTTAAGGGTGGAATCCATGCCCCAGTACCAGCCTGCTGGAGTACTCAGCCCACTGATGCCAAGGACTGATTAAATCCCCAACTTCCTGTAATTTTTGTTTCTTCAAAATGATCTGACTTAACCAAATCTGCATTTGTGAAAATTGCCCTCAGGGTCCTACCCAGCACATGGACATACATAAAACAGATTCTCTTTCTCTCTCTTTCTCCAATTCATTATGCAGTCCGCCTGAATACCACTCAAAATATTTTTCTCAATTAGGAGAGAAAACAGAATTTGCCACTTGTCTGCCTCTATTCTGCTGCCTGTCAGCATTCGGCAAATATTTCAATCACAGCTCTTTGCTTGCTGCTAACCGCTCTCATTTAACCTTTGACCTTCCCCTGGTCTAATCCATTGGCCTTTAAGTTCAAATCTTGGCAGTCACAAAATGACTAAAGGGCATGCATGGAGAGGAGCTGTAGATGGGCTTCGAGATCTAATATTTAGGATTTGGGGGTAGGGAGGGAGGGGGCAGGAGAAAGAAATATATCTCCGCCAACCCTAATAGCTCAATCAGATCCACAAAGGGCCAGTATCTGTTGCCATGTTCCAAAGGCACCAGGGAGAAAATTGCATGTGTCAAAAGGGGGAGGGGGAGAGAGAGAGAGATTTAAGGAGCCCACATCACCATCTGTAAGGTATCTAATTGTCAATCAGTAGTGACAAACAACAGAGACTCTCTCTGACTCACAACTCTTGCCAAAGTCAAGCCACGCAAATTGATGCTTCTGGGACACGGATAATGGTGATCAATGTAATTTGAATTCACTCTGTGATAAGAAAGGAACTTAACTGTTGATACTTCTGACCTCCCAGCAGAAGATCTATCAATTAATTAATAGGAATCCTGCTAAAGATTGAGGCATGAAATGAAAGAGAACCGCTAGGACAATGGGCACTGAATGTTTGCATTCCAACGATTTGGATACACTAGTAGAGGAGTTCAATGCTGTTTCGGTGGGCGAATAAATGAATGAATCTAGGGAGGGTCAAGAGGCCACAGGATTTCCAAGTCTCTGGGAGTTCTGATGCCAAGAAATGTCAAAAGTGAAACATCTTGAATTTTTTAAAAAAGGATTTTTGAAGCAGAAGTCCAGATTATGTTTTTAATGATATATAATATTCAGGTAATCCTGAAGCAGGGGTTACGTTCCAGACCACCATGCCTGGTAGGGCCTGTGTAAAGTGTCCCACCATGCTATGCCCCTGTTCTGACCTTTTAGTGATGTTTTTGAGTCTCTTCTGGGTTTGGTGCCATGCGCACATGCTCAATGGTGTGCCAATCGGATGTGCATAAATTGGTTGTTGCCTGTATTTAAGTTCTGTTCTCATGAACTGAACACTGCACGTGGATTAAGGTGCTACCACTTTCTGGAGAGGGACTGGTCTAGTCTAAGAAAAGGATGACGAGGAGTTCTTGTTGGGTTCGCCCATGCCATATAATTCTCTTTTGCAGAAGCCCTGCAAGACTTTATCAAGGCCAGCATCCTGTTCATAATACTGGCCTGCCAGCTGCTTTTGCTTAAGGACATGGCACAGCTAGGGGCTCTCACTCTTTCAACTGAACAGGAAAGGGTTGCAGCTCAGTGGTACATCATCTGTCTTAACATGTAGAAGACCTCAGGTTCAATCTCCAGACAAGGCTGGGGAAGACCCCTGCCTGCAAACTTGGACAGCTGCCACCAGACAGAGGGTACAACATCGAGCTAGATAAGACCAATGGCTGGACTCAGCTTCCTAGAGATTCTATTGGGCCATCAGTGCTAATACTTGCTGACAGGCCTCTCATGCTTCCTGGGGCTGATGTGAGTTGTAGTTGAAAACATCTGGAAGGCACCAGGGCTGGCGAAGTTTGCATTATCCAGTCCTCAAAAGCCTGGCTAAGTGGATACAGCTATTTATTTATTTGTGGGATGTACTGCCAGTATTCTCACTGCAAAGCAATTTAAGCCAGCAGCCATCATTGTGTCTTGTGGAAGTGCATTCCAGAAAAGAACAATACGCCGCCTTTACTTAGCCAGGCTTTCAAGGACCAAATGATGCAACTTCAGTGCCTTCCAGATGTTTGAGACTACAACTCCCACCAGTCCCAGCCAACATGGCAGCTTCCTTCCCTGCAGTGCCCTGAAAAGCTTTTGCAAGGATCAAGCGACTCTCGAGCAAAGCCTTTGTTATGGGACAAGGGACACGCGGTAAATCTACTGAGACAATCTAATTATTAAGTTGTGGGTGAACATATCAGACGACACAGTGATTCTTCAAACAGCTCTTGTTTATTCACAGGCCAGAACAGAACTGAACTGAAGGGTTCAGCCAGCCTGCTTATATAGAGCTCCACTACAATGCAACAGTAACAACTTTCTGTAACTATCCAATCACTGAACGTCACTTTCAATTCCTTATTTGCATATGTGGACCTGAGTGAAAACTATCTATAGTTATCCCCCTGCTGGCCCAGGGTGAAAACTTCAGTACATAACACTAATTACCCTATGGGAGGAAGAATGAGGGTGCTAGATTCTCACTCACAAAGCCATGTGGGTGTCAGCATCACTCTCCACATGTTGGGGGCCTGAAAGTCTGCAGCGGGGAACCTTTTCCATTATTTCAGACTCCCTGGGGGATTGGAATTCCTGATCTTCCAGGGTTCCAGGCTGCACAGGAAGCCTGTGAAAGAGTAAAACATGCACCGCACGGAAAAAGCTCACTCTGCAACTCACAGTGTGAGGGGATGGGCCCCCACATGCCGTCCCTTCATCCGAGAAAGAGCCCCTGAAAAGGGCTACACAGACTCCAAAACAAGTGGCGTTTGTGCCTCCCAATTCTGCTAGGCCTCCATTCGATCCAAGAGTTAGAAAAAAGCAAAGGGCGGTGGGGGAAGAGAGTCATATGACTTCTGGAGGTTAAGCACAGTAAATGCTTAAATCATGCATTACTTTTTTATTGTGGGCTTCTTTCCGGACCCAGGGACCAGCAAATCACCATGTAGGATGCACGATGCCATCCTATATATCACCAAGATCATCCACAGAGCTCATGGGGGAGATCTTCTACTCATATTTTATGCTCTCTAAGATACCTGAGCTCTGAAATGTGTTCAGTTCACAAATTGCGACTATTTTATGACTGTACTGGCCAAATAGCAAGGAGATTTACTTCCTGTCTTGTGAAGAAACACTGTTTTGCCCAGTAACTGCCAGTCCCTCCTGATGGGGTGGCTCTGGCCCCATATAGGCTGATCCTAGCATAGCATAATTACTCAGAAGTTAAGTCCCACTGGGACTCATTTCCAAACGCACGTTCACAAAACTGCAGCCCTAGCCTTCAAGTAAGTGATCCTGCATAATAGCCTTGCATGTCTGCAGAAGCAAAAAAAAAAAAGGAAACAAAAAAATCTCTCTCCCCTTTTTAAGCAGGTATAATTTTGCAGAAAGTGTGTGGGCTCCGTGAGCGAAGGTTTTAGATTACGCTGCTGGAACATATACAGGCTCCATTTAGTCACAAACCAAGCGGCTAGATAACATGCATGCTGGTTCAGGAAACGTAAGAATTTCAAAAATGGGAGGCTGGATTTTAAATGGGTGATTAGCGTCAATCTTCTCTCCTTTATCCCCCCCCCCTTTATTGGTGATTTGAATCCTGATCTGAAGCTCCCCCATACCCAACCTGCAACCTCTCCCCTTCACGGTATGAAAGAGAGAAGAAAGTGGCTGACCTTTTATTCACATGGCCAGATTAATTGTTTGCAATGGTATTTTGCTCCTCTCTGCTGAATGCAGTCGGTTGTCTGTTATCTGTCCTTCACATGTAATTAATTGTGCTTGGCTCTTGACTCATTAGAAAGTGGCTTCCCTCTCCCTCCGACAGCCCCACAACCCCCCACCCTGAATGACGTGCCCAAGTCCCAGTGAGTATTATATAGGTTAAATCATGTTTAAGTAACTACATAAATAGTAGGTCAGTTTTGCCTTTTGTCTAGGACTGAGACCGTTGCTCGGCTCATTTCTCAACATGCCAAACCCTTCACTGCTGATCTGTCTCCCGTGTGGGGAGGAGGTGGCGGGGGGCTGGGGGAGAAAGACACCAGCCCTCTGAATGGGATTTGTTTCTTCATTGTTGTGCTTCCATCTCGCGCCATTCAAAAGCAGCTCCAGCGAGTCTTTTCAGTGATTTTCCATTCTGGTTCTGATGCGATCCACATCCATCTGCACAGCTTCAGCCATGAACATTCACTGGGATATGAGCTACGTAAAAAAGAAGTCTCTTCCCAACATGTACCCCGAGGAACGCATGAGGTGGAAACTGCAATCATGGATGTTAGTCTTGCCCATGACAAGGTGCACGCTGGTCACATCCCCAGCAGGTCATGAGCTAATGGCAAGCTTCCACCCACAATCTGAAGAGCCTGGACTAAGGTATACCACCCCAGTGAGAACTAGGTAGGACCTTCGGCATGTTAAGGTTCACACGGCGTTTTGCATGGAGTGAAATCTAAAGTCGGGATTTGGAGTTCTG